TAGGTTTATTTTGAGGGGAGCTGATGGCTTCAGATCAGCTATTCAGGAGCACCCACAGAAACCCAATTCAGGTTCCAGTCAGGTACACTCAGGCTTCCTTCACCACATGGAGGCAGGATCCAGGCTCTCTCAGGCAGTCCTGTGCATTGTCAACCCTATGCCAGAGGGAGGCCAGACAGGGGCCACAACTCAGCACTCTCTGGTGGTCTGCTGAGATCCCAGCCTTAGCCTACATCTTCCTTAGATCCCAGCCTTAGCCACATCTTCCCTGGAGTCTTTGGAGGGGCCTCATGAAATCCCAGGTACGGGGATGGTGTGGCACAATTAAGGGAAGCTCACCACCACGTGGAGGCAGGATGCGGGGGCTGTCAGGCTGTCCCCTGGGTTCTCAGGCTGGTAGTTGGAGGCCAGAGGGAGACCAGAACTTGGCAGCCTTTGGCAGTCTGCTGAGCTCTGAGCAGCTACCCTGATGTGAGTTGTGTTTTTATATTGCTTTTTAAGGAAAAGATTACCGTGGGATGTGTGGATGTACCAGAGTATGCAGATCTACGTTCTATCCTGTTCAGAACCTCAAGTACTTTATGAGTTATCCCAGGGAGACTGCAATATGGACTTCATTATTTTCTCTGCAAGTATTTACTGGCTCTGTCTCTTTTGCGATAGGGTCTCACTGTGTAGCCCTTGCTGGCCTGGAGCTCACTATGTAGAGCAGACTGGCCTTAAACTAACAACGACCTGTCTGCCTCTGTCTCCTGAGTGATGGGATTAAAGGGATGTGCCAGCACAGCTGGCTCTGTTTTACCAGATTTTAGCTCGTTGGGAAGCACTAGCTTAGACACGATTTTTCTTTTGAATGTGTAGAAAGGCAATGCAGAAGAGTGATCACACCACAGATCACAGGGCCTGACTTCAAATTTCTGCTCCGGCACTCACAAGTGATTGAACCCTGTCCACGCTGTTTATCCTTGCTGATTTCCTTTGGTGTTTGTTTCTGTGATTGGGTCTCCCCGTAACCCCAGCTTACCTGGAATTGTGCATGTAGAGCAGGCTGACTCTATCTTTGCTTTGTCTCCCCAGTACTGGCATTAAAGGGAAGCACCACCACGCCTTGCTCCTTGGTCTTTTTTTAAACGCTGTTTTAAACTCCCTGTGTGGCTTTGTATCTATCCAGTTTGTTGGTTCTGCCTGCTGCATGCTGGGGATAGGCACTAGATAGGTGTTGGTTATCAGGAGTGCAACATCGAGAACGTTTTCCTTGGACTGAAGAGGAGACCCTGGTGGGGGCTGGGCATAGGACGTCAGAGCACCAGAGTAGCACACGTCTGTGGGTCAGTCTGCCCCAGTGGATGGTGGTGGACCTCAAACGCTTGTTTCCTCTCCTGTTTCGAAGGCTTGGGGAGTTACACTGCTCAGAAGTTGGGGCAGGATGAGGAGCTGACTTTTGGATTGTAGCACCCTACACTGATGCACTTAATAAGCTTCGATTGAGGCTCACGTTGCTCACTGGGGCCTGTCTCACAGCATACTGAGCATCAGGAGACTGTTCCCCCCTGGATGCTCCACTCACTCTGACAGAGGCGAGTTCTTGAAGATGCCGGCTAAGGTAAATGGTTTGACAGCATTTTCAATATATTATTAAAACAACGTTATGGAAAGTTGTGCTTCTCTCTCTCAGATACAGTGATTCCCGTTCTCTCTGGCCTTCCTCATATCCACCAACGTTGAACATAATTTTTGCGTTGTTATCTCCACAGTGCATAAATAACTTTGCATTCCATGGCCTCCAGTGAAAATTATCTTGTATATACATTCCCATTTTTCATAACCTGCATATTTATCACTCTTAATGACTGCGGTAAATTCTTTGAAGCTGATCTTGTTAACTTACCC